GGCGCAAGGATGGTCTGCTGCTTTTTTGAGACAGACATTACATGTATTGTATGTAATTTTCCCCTTAAAACACGATACCCCTGAATCGAGGGATTTCCGTTTCACTGCTTTATATTATTACAGATTTTTCAGTATGTTGAAAATTAACTACTTTTAACGAGTATATTTTGAATTTATAATAAATTGACATACTTCTTTTGACTTTGTAGTCCCGAGTTCAAATTTTGTTGGCATGAAAATAGGCAAAAGCTTTTCTCGTCAATAAAATATTGTTAGGTGAAGTTTTGAATCGCTTTCAGAAGGTCTAATGTTTGGCCCGTTAATAGAAATATGTCCCTCTATTTATGAGCTTCCTTCCAAGGTTGAGACTACTTTTTTTCTTTCTTTTCTTAATTTTAGAAAGGAGGTACTATTCACTAGTTACTCTCTTGAAATCACATATCTATTAACTTCTGTTTAATTGTTTAATAATTATTTTAGGAAGACAGTCCAACTAATTATAAAGATCTAATAATTATTTAATAACTATTAGCATTTAGTGTTATCTATATTTTCTGAAAAATGAATCTCACTCTATTTAATTATATTTGTTGGAGAATAAATTTAGACAATGAGTTGAGATAGCATTATCATCATTTTAATGTCATTTAAATTCAAATCTCAATTCTTCCCTCAAATTACAACTATTTTGTCAACCGTTTTAATCCCTATATTTTTAACTTTTATCCATTTTCTTTCTTATGCTTTCAAATATCTATTATGGTTGTGGTATTTTAACTTCTAAAATTTTAGTTTTCGGGCTTCGAAACATTTTTTTTTCTACTTTTTGAAATGTGATAATTTTGATACATTTATTTTCATTTGTTATCTCATTTATTTTATCACAAATTTAACATAATACTACACATATATATTTTTTAAAATAGTTTATTAATTTTATATTAAAAGAATTTTAATTATATATAGAAATTGTATCAGAAGAACTTCGTAAACCATGATAAACTAGTCACTCTTTATTTTTATTTTTTTAAATATACGGACGAGAACAAAGGTTTACTTTAAAAGAAATCTTTAATAGTGTAGACCAGAACAAAGTTTTGAGAGTAGGAGAATTAACTGGATAACAAGACGAGTGTTAAAAAAATATACAAGAACTAAAATTGGCTAAAAGAATAGAATGGTTTTTTTTTCCTTAATAAGTTTTTTAACGGACTTTGTCACAGATTTTTCCATTTTCCATGATCCTTCCCAACTGCATCAGTATAACTTTTTGTCATGATATTTTAATGGTTGGTCATTTCAGAATAGATAAAATCACACAGTTAAAAATAGAAGTTAATATTAATAATCATACTTGTATCATTCAAGATTTTTATATTAATTTATTTCTGTATCTCTTCATCGATGGAAATAGTCTATTTTAATTTTAGGAT